AAATCCTAGCCAATTATACATTCATTTTCTCTGTTGATAAGATTCAAGCATGAATTTTACTTGTACCAAGTAAGTTTCACCAACTGCTGGAGAGAGTGAGAGAGGAGGGAGAATTGAAACAGCGAGACTATAATTTATGGATGAACCAATCATGTATAAGATAACAAGTCTCGGATTTTGGCGCGAAATTCATTCATCCATTAGGCTGGATAGAGTTTAAGGTATTATAGCTAATGTCAGTTCATGATGAAAACCGTAAATTTAATTCCTTACCTTAACTATCAACTGTAAATCATGATTCCAACTGGTTTATAACCCTCATTTGGTCTTACTTGTTAGATGAACACTCTCAAGGTCAGCCTAGCGTCGCTGAATGGTCGTCCATAAATTATAGTTTCATCACTAAATGTGCTTACATCTTTTCTCTGGTTTCAATTAAAATGATTTTGTAATATCAGTAAGTTGTATGGAAGTGATTTTCAGCCCTATAAAATGTTCAATGTAGATCCTTTATGGTTGGTAGTCATATTTGTTTACATTAAATCTATTCGTTAATACACATGAATTGATCTATTGACTAATGGTGTATATTAAATTACTACGAAATTAAGCTAGAATCATGTAGAAAACGAATCATCTCCTATAACAGCTAAGTTTTCCAAAACTGATGAAGATAAGTTGAATGAAAGTCATCAACACATCATAAGCAAACCTGAAGCTTTTACTGATGATGTCGTTCAGAAGAACAATGAGAGCTCCACGACTGAACCATCCAGTTCATAGAACAAAACTCCATCAAAATCCTTTTTCTGGTTTTCATCGTTGTGTTTATTCAGGTTTTTGTTCGGAAGAAATGAAACAGTATTGTTGTGTCATTAAGTCCGGCGAATTATCACATAGTTTATTCGCCAATCGAAATATGACTTATTCAATCTTAGTACTGTGTTAAACCAATGACGCTAGACCGGTATGAGCATCATAGCGTCCTTATTGGTCCTTTGTTCTTCTAGCCCTTCCAATTGAATCCAAAACGTTGATAACAGCTCCGAGTATACGAATCCTTTACTTCAAACATACTTGGTTTATATACCAGACAAACAGACCATATCACGCCATCAAATAGGAAATAACATTTATACAAGATGTAGTCAAGAAGTAGCTATGGGAGTGATTGTGGGAGACTATTCAATAAACTTGACATAAATTAAGAACAGTAAATCGTATAATCATAATCTATAGATCAAAATGAAGCTCACAATAAGAGGAATATGAATATACGTAATCTGGTTAATGAACAGTTAGACAATAGGAATATTAGTCCATTAACAGTTGACAGAAGTTACCCATAATTTAATCTTCACTAGGATATAACAGATAACATTGTGCTTACGTCAGTCATAGTTCTTTTTTCACTGTTGGTATAATATTCTAACGAATTAGACTTCACAATGGTTTTTTACATAGAAATTAAACCTCGACTAATCAGAATAGATGGAAGCAACGGAAGTGGAATGGAACGATTACATAACTTAATAAGTCATTTTATTATAACAAGTATTCTTGATAATTTCTTCGACATTTCAAGGTTATGGTATACTGTAAAACACTGCGCCAGTGGAGTTATTCGATGTCGGGTAGAGACAGGTAACTTCCTCAGTACAATGGAAGATGGTCTCACAATTTGGGGATCGGTTGAGGTTAGACATTAACACCGTTGGAGGCCGGCCCAGTGGTCTAGTAGGTTAAGCGTTTGTGCGCGAGACTGAAGGCCCTGGGCTCGAATCCGGTGAGCGGGATTGTGGATGCGCACTGCTGAGGAAGAATCCCACAATAGAATGAAACAGCCATCCACTGTCTCCAGGTTATAAATAGTGATCTAACATCAATCGGTTCACGATCTCAATTAATAATTTAATAATCTCCACAACCATATACTGATAAAACACAAAATGACGAATTATGTTATTAATCCGAGAAATAAAAACAAAGCAATATCATTACATCTAAAAACAGTCATATGGAATGGGTCGCTAACCCCATACCCAACCCTCTTTCTTTATTCGGGCTTGAGATTGAAAATAGCCCCAAAGGGGTTTCTGTCCGAGTTTTCTTTTTAGTGACCATTAAAATATGCAAATTAATTTCATTGATTTAATATCTCAAGCAACAATCGTAAAACAACTGAAGGTAATAACTAAAACTTTTTGTAACCAAGACACTTTCAATGTTGCTGAATAAATTGAGCAAATGATAATCTTTTGTTTACATAATTGTCTTATGATCAAACAGATTTTACATTCCAGAGACTAAATATGTGACTAGAAAAGTCATGTGATCAGTATTAATTGAATTCTATTATGAAACTTGTAATTTAGCATTTATCTAAATGACTAGGATATCGTACAAGTTAAATTGTAATGTCGGATAGTGTGAGATTTGTTACGAAGAATTATGAAAATGTAGGATTCACTGAGAAATGGTTATTTTTTAAGACTGGATCAGTCAATAGTAGGCATCCTAGAACTAGACGACATACGACTATCCACTCTAGAGTCCAATGTTTATGATGATAGACTAAAATTGTTTAGTCGAAAGAATTTGATTCAAGTCCTTATGTTCAACCAGTTTATAATATAATATTATTATCATATAGCTAGATGTATAAGATGATGTTCTGCTTTCAACACTCATTCGAACTTCCTGAAGCTTATGAAGACGACGCGTATTGTTGGACAAATGGTTTCCCTCAAAATAAATAAATTGTGAAGGAATTTTATGGTTTACTTTAAGAATCATTATTTAACCTGGACATAGTAAATAGTTGTTCTGTCTTAGTTTAAATGTTCTACAGACTTATCCGATCTCAGCTTCAATTGGAATTACAGTTGTAGGTAAATACTCAATTGTTTCCATATTGTAATGAAACTACTCATCAAGACTACTACAGAAAAAGTTATATTTATTAAGTTTACATCACTATTTTCACCCAAATTATACTAAGACAAAATCGCTGTCCAATGCTTCCAGGTTTTCAATGGTAGTCTAATATTGATCCATTCATGGTATTAATCTAAACTAAATAATCTCCACACATTGTCTAAATTTCATTTTTGTTTCACAATTTCATCTTACAGAATAAAGTTGATAAGCCTAAAAGCTAACGTTGAAAGTACAAAGGATTTTATTATGATCATAAGTCAATTGAAGCCAGACCACTATGGGATATCTGAAAGCACTGGACGGTCGTTTCATCTCAATATGGGACTCCTCAACAATGCGAATCCACGATCCCGCCTCGTGAGGTTCGAGCCCAGGACTTATTAGTCTCTCACGCTAGCACTTAACTTCTAGACCACTGAACCGACAACTTCAACCAATCCACGAACTTACGCCACCGTCCACTATTGTCATCAGTAAGTTACTATCTTACAACAGACCCGGTTGAACTTCACAAGTCATGACTTTTATTATGATCAGCATATAAAGTTAAATTGTTATCAGTTGATTACATAATATAAGTAAGCATATGGAACTTATGAAAGAATAAGCAAAGATAGATAGAGGCTAGCAGTGGAATCCAGTTAGACGCGCATTTCGTCCTATTTGGGACTAGTCAGCTGGATTTACCTGGATCCCAGAGTTGATGTTCACTCCTGAACTTGAATTCAGTACCATTCGCTTCAAACGTTATCGCATTATCCATTTAGCTACTGAGTCCTGATATCCATCTGCTTGTGAAACGGGGTGAAGTTTTTAATTTACTTAGTGTTGTTTTACTTGTATCTTTCCATTATTATTTAGGACTGCAAATGATCAGCCCCAAGGTAAACATCAACTGTGACATGCAGGTACATCCAGTTGACGAGTCCCATATAGGATGAAATGTGCGTCTAACTGAATTCTACTGCTAGTCACTATCCATCTTTGCTTAAAAAGTTTGTGACTTATCGAGGTATTCCCCACATTATGCACATATACCAATAAGAGACTGATCAATTGCAGTTCTAAATAACAATGGGATGATACCAGTAAAAACAACATCAAGTGAATTTATGAAAGAATAGTTTATTTAATCATAAAGGATATAGAGTAAACTACATATGATTCTAACTATTCATTCATAGATAAAGATGTTTATCATTACATAAAGTATATATTTACTTTTATACATATGAGACAGTGTTTGTCACATGTATATCATAAGGAAATTAGATAAATATTGGTAAAACAACTACCCTATATGTGTATATATACACTGTGTATGAGTGTATAGAAGCACGTGTTCCTATGCATGGAAATTAAACCATTCAAAGTATGTATGCAAGTAAGAAATAACCTGAAACTCTGTCCTATAAACATTTTAGTTTATGAAACTTTACACACACACACACAAATGATAAGCTTTAGATACACATTTTCGTCATTTGCACATGTGTGTATTCACATCTATCTATCTATCGGTTTCTAGATGAATCGGTGCATATATTCATACTTATATGGAAACTACATATGGTATCTATGTGTATATATTTACACATTATTATTGTTGTATTTTCTTATTGATACACAATCATAGATAGTTACTGCCTATCAGCAAACTGTTTAGTCTAGGAAATCTGTTCATTTAGTCTTTGACCATAATATCTACCTATCTACCTATCCATATATATATATATATATATATATATATATATATATATATATATATATATGTATTTCATAAAAGTAAGTGCATATTGGTTTACACCAAAAAAAAAGAAAAGAAAAGAAAAGAAAAGAAAACAAGGAACAAAAAGTTTCCAACTATAAAATGTATGTCTGTTTGTATATTGGATAAGAATTACAGATTTAAATAGGGCGGGGGGGGGGAGCGGCCACGGTAATGATTCATAATAAATTGTGAATAAATTTACCAGAAACAAGAAGAAAGAGAAAAATTATTTTTAACATAATAATCATAATAAAACTTAATTAAAATAATCATCAAGATAAAAATAAATGAAAAAAGAGAAAAAAGAAAAGAAAAAAGGAAAAATAACGAAGAAAAAAATTATTAGAAATCAACTCATCATTAGTGTTTCATGTGTATATATATGTATATATCACTCAATTAAAGAAAACTATATACACTGAACATTCAATATAAGATATTCAACAGATTGTTTATTATATTATCATTGAAATGATTCAAAGGATCCATCTTGATGGATTTTATATTATGAATAATATTCATGATGGAATTATATAATTCTATGTTTATTTTATATTATTGTATATTGTTCTGATTATGGAAAATCATCTTGATCATAAGTGTAATGATACAGAACCTGATTCAAAGTAAGTAACTAATTGATGCTTATTATTATTATTGTTATTTGTGGATTGGTTGAAGTTAGACATTCATATCTATTGGATGCTGACCGACATAATGGTGTAAAGGTTAAGCTTCCGTGCACAAGAGTAATAAGACCTAGGTTCGAATCTCATGAGGTGAGATCTTGGATGTGTACTGCTAAGAAGTCCCATATTAGAATGAAACAGTTGTCCAGTACTTTCAAGTTTTTCATGGTGGTTTAACTATGATTGACTCATGAATTCAATTATTAAATTATAATTATGAGTTATTATAACATTATAATATTGATCTTGTAAGAGATCTGTGATCAATTGAATTGTATACAATTCTAAATCAGAAGTCATTTGATGTATTACATAATAGGCCTGAGAACATTCAGTTGAAATATAATAGTTTATAGATTGCTTTTGAATCTAAATCCAAGTGTATGATTATTATTCAATATGATCCATCATTTGATACTGACTCAATTAACTTTATTCATAAGAGTTTTATGATATTTATATTGAATGAATCAGTAATGAATTCATCATTAATTCCTTTCAGTTAAATAAATACAAATAAATAATTCACGAAGTTGCGCCACCGTACACCATTGTCTTCGGTGAGTTCCTATCTCAAAACAAATCTGGTTGAACTCCACTGGTAACGACTTCTCACTAGAACTCCAGGAGTATCTCCTGAAGTCAGTCACTAGTGAGCAGGTGGTCATTATTATCGGAATGGGTTTTGTGGAGATTTTTTTAGAAATTAAACTGATTGAAATCATGAATCAATTGAAGCTAGACCATCACGGGGAACCTGAAAGTGCTGGACGGTCGTTTCGTCCTAGCATGAGACTCCTCAGCAGTGCGCATCCACGATCCCGCATCCCGCGAGATTCGAACCCAGGACCTATCAGTCTCGCGACAGGCGCTTAACCAACTAGACAACTGAGCTAGGCGGGATCCAACGGTGTTAGTGTATGACTTCAACTAATCCACGAAGTTGCGCCACCGTCCACTATTGTCTTCAGTGGGCTGATATCTCCCGACAGACCTGGTTGAACTCCACTGTTAACGACTTCCAGGTTTTCCATGGTGGTCAAGCTTCAATTGACTCATGATTTCAACCAGTGAAATTTCTAAAATATCCACAAAACTCATTCTCACAAATGGATAATTCACAAGATCTGATGAAACTCAGTGAAGTGCATAACTAAGGATAGTAATGTAGATATAACGGTGAAGCTATAATTTATGGATGACTTTTCAACGACGCTAGATTGACCTTGAGAGTGTCCACCTAAAAAACTAGGATCAAATGAGGGTTATACACCAGTGTGAGGAATTAGAATTATGATTTACAGTTGATGATTAAGGTTATGAATTACATTTAGGATTTTCATCATGTACTGACATCAGCTATGATGCCAAAACTCTATTTAAACCAATAGATGAGTGAATTTTGCGCCATAATCCGAGACTTGATTGGTTCGTCCACAAAATTATAGTCTTGTCAAATATCATAAACTCTCTAAAAATGTGAAACATACTGAACACTATGATATCCTTATATAATATGGTATTATGAATTAAGGGAATTCGATGGCAGTAGACACACTACTGAATGTTGTTTTGAATGTGGACTATGGAAGATTCGAACCGTGTGTTGTAAAAATCTACAAACTAACCAGAGATTTACTAAATAAAACAAAAGGTTCATTGCTTTATCTAAATCGCTACAAAATAAGATTTAACGTCAGATAATTTGAGCTGTTTAACGGTTTACTTAGGTTTCGTGTTAATTGCTGATCGTAATCTCGAATATTCCAAACATCATATCCCTTAAACTTTCGGATCTACCTTTTTAATGAGAGAGTTTTCATAGAATCTATATCCATTGCTTCTTACTGATTTATCTATAGTTGTCTAATATCAAAAACCTACTGTATACAATCACATTTCACTTACAGTAGTAGTTCCAAAACAATTTGATTGATTGAGTCCACGACCTCCAAGATCTGGACAAGTTAAAAAACAATACTGTTGTTTACGAATTTGAGATGACGAAAAGTGAATGTCTGGCGCTTTAACCATGCCGGTGGACACGGACAGTTCACCTAGGGGAGTTGGGAGACCCTGATTCCAAACCAATGGTGCATCTGAGCTGCAGGATCCTAAGGGAACAAATGATATATGAACCAATCGTTGGTCACCGGCTACCATGGCACTGCATCTCCTGACGTTGCTCCACTACCTTGTGGATCAGACTTTAGTCAAAGGCTCCGGGTGTCGCTCCCTAAGGAAACCACCTGTTTTGATCAACTGAAAATTTTCTTTTCTTACTCTTTCTCAAATTAAATTATTTAAGCTTCATTCTACGTGATTTATATTTTTAAGTAATAATGTCGTCAATTGGTTAAAGTTAGACATTAAAAACTTTGGGTGCCGGCTCAGTGGTCTAGAAGTTGAACGATAGGTCCTGGGTTCAAGTCTCGAAGGGCGGGATCGTGGATGCGCACTGCTGACTTACTTACATACTTACTTACTTACTTACTTATGCCTGTTAAACCCAATAAAAGATAGGCCACCGACCACTATGTCCTCGGCCTTCCTTTCTAGTTCCCCCCAATTGTTCTTCATTCTTATCATATCTGTCTCCATTACTCGGTGAAATATGTTCTTTAGTCTTCCACTTCTCCTTTCGTCTTGAGAATTCCAAATGTGTCCACTCCACTTCCAGCACTTCTTCCTGATTTCTTCCTCCTCCCGAATCTGATTTGTTCTCTCTCACAGTAGGTTGTCGATGATAGTATCTTGCCAACACATCCGAAGTAGACAACTGTTATTAAACACTTGTTTCTTCTCCAAGTTTCTGCCCCATACAGTAAAACTGTCTTGACATTTGTATTAGAAAATCTGACTTTGGTGTTGAGTTGTGGACATTTGTTTTGAGTTCCAGATACTTTTCAGTTGTAAATATTTTATGCTTGTGTACTGCTGAAGAGTCCCACAATAGAACGAAGCATCCATCTAATATTTCCAAGTTTTTCATGATGATCTAGATTTAATAAACTCATGAATTCAATTATGTAATTAATAAATTTTCGACTAATTTCTAACAAATATATCATTTAAAGGGGTTTTGTAGAGATTTTAGAAATTTCACTTATTGAAATCATGAGTCAGTTGAAGCTGGACCACCATGGAAAAACTGGAAGCATCATCTGCTCACTAGTGACTGACTTCAAGAGATACTCCTGGAGTTCTAGTGAGACGCCGTTACCAGTGGAGTTCAACCAGGTCTGTTGTGAGATAGTAACTCACTGAAGACAATGATGTACGGTGGCTCAACTTCGTGGATTAGTTGAAGTTATACACTAACACCGTTGGATGCCGGCCGTCTCAGTTGGAAAATAACATTATTACAAGAATTAGCCAAACGTGGCTGTGAGTGTGGGAGGTACTAATTAATAGACAAGGTCTATCTCAAGAATGATAAATCGTATATTAATAGTTCATAGGTCAAAATAAAGCTCACAATAAGAGAGACATGCATATGAATAGTTTAGTTATTTAACAATTATACAACAAAAATATATGCATATTATTGGTCCATAATGGATCCCAAAAGTTACCATTCATTATGCTTATCGGAGCATAACACAACCATTGATATAAGTACAGCTGAAAAAACTTTAAAATTCTGTATATAAGCAATTGGAAGAATCTTAGAGCGTTTTAAGAAGCATAATCAGTAGAAACATTGTGATGATCTCCCAACCTAAATGAAAACCATCAATTAATTACATGATCTGCAGCCAGCTGAATATGACAATCAGGTTGAATTCATAGACAAATTTTAATAATAAAAGCTGCGTAAACTACCAAAAGTAAAACAAGTTCACTAGAATAAAGTAATTTAACGCTTATGAAATATCTATGAAGCTTATTTCAAAAATTATCTTATCATATCAGACATCTTTAGGTAAATAAACAATCGATTAAAGAAACCTGTTAAATCACTGAGGAAGAAGATGAATGTATGACTGTTGATGATATCATTTAGTTAAACTATACAATCGTACTTTAAGCTGGTTACTTACTTACTTACTTACGCTTGTTATTCCTCGTGGAGGAGCCTAGGCCACTCATCAGGCTAGTGAAGATCTATAACTCATTTAGATGATTTTGATAAAGTTTTATTCTCTAAGCTGGATGGTTTGTTGTTAGAGTTTTAATTATTATTCTGAAGAACATCATTAACACTAACTTTACAACCAAATATTTAGATCAGAGAACGAAAACTTCATCACAATATGGTTAGCTTATTAAGAATTAAGGAAATATCATAAAGAAAAGATGGATAGTGGCTAACAGTGAAATGCATTTCGATGCGCGTTCCGTCCTATTTGGGACTCGTAAATTGTATGTACTTGCATCTCAGAGCTGACATTCACCCCGAAACTCGAGCCCAGTATCATACGTTTCGAACGCCATCACGTTCTCCACTTAGCTGCTGAGTCCTGATAGTACAAAGGGGTGTAATTTCAAACTCACTTATTATTATTATTGTTTTACTTATATCATCCCATTGTTATATAGAACTGAAATTGATCAGTTTGTTCATGTTAGTATATGGGCATCCTGTGTAAATTGCCTCAATATCACCTTAAGTCAAAAGATGAATATCATAAAGAGTTTAAAAAAAATTTCAAAGATCACTACCTAGTAACTAAAATGATCTAAATGTTGGTAACATTTATATCTAAGGGATAAATAGAGAAACTCTAAGTAAATAAAGATAAATGTATCCATTTAAAATGATTCAGTGTATAAAAAGATAAAAGGGATATATCTTTTGTTTAACGGTCATGGAGGTAATTCTTTCTTCTCTTCTTTTTTTTCTTTTTTACACAAATTATTCAATAAATTTATGTCAGTAAACCAGGTCAATGAACCAGATGTTTGATGATTAATGATGATGTAAAACTTCAATG